TTTATTATCTAATGTATATCAATTATATTTTGATATAAATTTTTTTCTGGTATATCAATTATATGAAAACAACCATGGTTAAACAATTAATAATAATAAAGCAATAAATTTAAAAACTAGATTAAAAATAAAGTATTATAAAATAAAATTCTAATAATTTGATTGAAATTGTAGTTTTTTTTAATTAATTAAGTTAATGAGGAATTAAAATGTGATAATTTGATGTGCTAAATTTTTTTAATATAAATTTTTAAAATATAATTTAATTTAAATTGAAGTTTTCAATTGAAAAATATATAAAAAAATATTTGTTATTAAACTTTTCTGTATTGAGTAGTTAATATCACTCTAGTATTAATTTATTACAATTTAAGTTTTTAATAAATTTGATTTATTTTTAATAATATTTTTATTTTAGTAATTTAAAATTAAAGTTAATCTCCATTTTGTTAACATTGATACCAAAGTTTATTTTTAAAGTACATTTTAAAAAATAAATTATTTTTGAAAAATAAATTACTTTTAAAAAATAAATTACTTTTAAAAACTAAATTGTAAAAAATATACTAAAGCAATTAAAGTATATTTATAAAAAAATAAATTTAAATATAATAAAAATAATAATGTTCATTAGCAACCGATTTTAATTCAATCGCTAAATGTTTTTTTATTTTAGTATGGAATAGCCATCGATTTAGTGACCAGAAATTTTCGACGCAAACTATTGGTCGTTATTACGGTCTTTAAATAAAAAAGTGAAACCAAATCATATTTTGGTGGCAAAATTGATCATTAATTGCGACCGATTTAAATCGGTCGCTAATTGTGACTGAATAAAATCGATTGTTAATTTTGGTCGCTAAAAGTGTTTTTTTCTTATAGTGATATGAGTGTCGTAGGTCAGGTTATAAACACTTTTACTTTGAAAATAAAAATCACTCGAGAACATTTGTGCTTTAGTTTGAGAACTTGTGAGAAGTAGAGAACCTCTCTCTTTAGGATTCTTACCTTGAGAGTTAGGTCTCAAGTAGGATCACCATGAGTTGCAGTGGTGCAAAATTCTTCTAATTATCAGTCTTTTTTTAATAATAATCTTGGTTAGCTTGAGAAGGTTATCTTTTTTTTTTTTTTCATTTTCTTTGAAGTATCTTCTTTTCTTTGTTTTTCTTCTTTTTCTTTGGATATGTGCATAACATAATCATATTTTGGCCACCCAAACACTAAAATATACTTAATCAAATTGAAGTATAAAACGATTTTTATTGACTGTGTGAAGTCAGAATGAAATCTAACAGATATTATGACGAAACCCCTAATAAAAAATATGATTTTAGAAACATCGAATGAAATAAAACTCAAGTAATTTTACAAATAAACAAGTGATGGTAACTCCACCTTTATAATTGGATATCCCATGAATAAGATTCATATGGGTAAAAACAAATAACTTGTTAGTTCTGCTAGCACTAAAATTGATTAAAATCATGCTCATTCTCATAATGTGTATGAAAGTACTAGATACTGCATCAATGAGAGATTAAACTTTGTAATTAAAATTTTATGAGGTGTACAAATTTTTAAAAAAAGTTTTAATGATTTTATATCCCTTACGGGTGACATATAATTTGTAGCATACGCTTGATGAAATTAACTATATGAGTGTTAAGTGAGGTCGCTTGTATGAGATCTTTTCAAGATTTCTAAAACACTTTTGAATATCGAGCACGTGCATGACCTAATAAGCGTAATACAACAATAACATCAACAATTGTGATAGTGTATTGTGATTGTTAAACCGCTAACACACACTAAGTATTTTGGGTCATATAGTTTGTTATACCAACTCCACTGTTGGTTAAGTTTTCAGTCTATGACTAATTCATATAGTTAGTTATACCAGCTCTGATGCATTACATCTTATATAAGACCTATTATTTTTTCTTTTCTTTTGTTCTTTTATCTCAATTTTTGTATAATATGTAGGAGATTGTTGTAAAATAAGGATATTACAAAACCTAAAACGTGTTTCATTTTCCCATATTTCCATATCACAATCTCCTATGAGGTTGAACGCAGAAATTAGTTTGTTGTCTATACTACACTCTCTACTCCCTTTTTAAATTATCAATCACACATCTCACATCTTCTCTTTTCTCCTTTTTCATTTTTTATTTTATTTTAATCCTAAATTTATTTACTATTTTAAGAATTTTTTGTCAATTTTTGAAATCCTTAAAATTTTTAAGAAATTCATATTGAAACTTGGAGAACTTATACAACACACGGTACATAAGTATAAAGTGATTATACACATCACATGAATCAAGTTTTCATTATATTTTTTTCATCATTTACAACACTATCAAAATATTAATGGATTCCTTTTTGATGAGGAACGAATTACAAATTGTTTACAAAATTTTCCTTGAACAGTTTTCTTCGTGAAAACTTGAGTCTTTGCATACGATATTTTAATCCTCAACAAAAATCTTCTTCTTATACATATTTTTTTAATACCTTTTTCCAGTCGAAATACATTCAGGACCGGTTCTCATATTTTGAGGACTTATGACAAAATAATAAATAAATATCTCTTACGTATAACATCTGTAAAAAAGTATATTTTTTAAAATATTAAAGTTACATTTTTAATTTTTAAAAAATAATAAATAAGATTTATTTAGATATGATATTTTTTTATCATAATAAAAATATCTTACAATGGAGTGAAGTTGGTTATTGTGAAATGAGTAGAAGATGATCGTATGAATATGTGATATATTTTGAGAATAAAGTGTGTGGTAAATTAGATAATGTTAAATAGATATTAAAAATAGTTTTGATTTATTAGTTTAAAAGATTGAAATAATAAGTTAAATTATGCAAAAAAATTGTAATTTAAATTAAATTAAGTAGGTTTAATTCATGATATATATGTCTTAAGTTAGACTAAATTAATGAGTTATTTTATAAAATAATATTTTTAAATAAAAATTATTAATATATATATATATATATATCTTATAAATTAATTTTTAAAGATATTTATTTATTTTAAAAATAAATATAAAAGTAAGTATATTATAAAATTTAATAATTAAGATAAATTATTATTTTAGATTCATCAATTTCTAAAAAATAAATGATGATATTTTTAACTTTTATATTTATTATTTAATAAGTTTTAATATTTTGTAATTTATATTTTAAATTATTATATATAAAATAATGTTTTAAATATAATTTTTAAATTTGTATTTAAATAGTTTTAAATTAATTATTTTCATATCAATATTTTAATATATTTTTAAAATATTTAATCAGATTTATTTTAAAATATAAAGTAGTAAATGATGAATTATTTTTATTTGATATGTAAGATTAGGTTAGTATAGTCGATTTTGAAAATGTGACATTAATTAAATATAATGGTTGTATAAAAAAAAAAAACCAAGCTAGATTCATCCAAAACACACCCAATCCCGATCCAACCAATAGTTGTTGTGGTCAAATTGAATAGGCTTGTGCAGATTTCAATTATTGTTTTAGAACTTGTTTAAATATAAGGTAAATTTTAATGAAATTAATGATGTGATTAAAGGAAAAATCTGTAGACACAAAAATGCTGAATCACATGTGGATGTATAATTACTCATGACTAAGTAAATTTTTTATTCTTTTTTATGTCAGTGTAAAGAGACTTTATTTGATTAATGCAAATAAATAAGAAGAAAAATATTTTCTATTTAATAACAGATTTACTTGTTTTATTTTCTATTTAAATTAAAAAGAATAAAAATATAAAAATTATTATTTGACAAAGTTATTTAATTTTTAATAAAAACTAATATTTATATATAAAATTTTAATTATATATATTAACTTTTAATTATGTTACTTTAATAAAATATAAAAAACGTAAAATTAGATAATTTTATAACTTTATGTTTTTAATTTGACATTATTTTACTAATTTAGATTGGATTTAAAAAACTAACAAGAATATATATATATATATATATAAAATTATTTTTAATTTAACTCTTAATCAATATTGTAAATAATATAAATAAATTTAGAATTATATAAATATATAACTTTTTAAATCAGCACTTTCTTCCAAATTTTTCTATCACTTTCTTTCTTAACAAATATATATATATATATATATATATATATATATATATATATTTATTTTATTTCATTACAATAAAAAAACTCTAACTAATTTAGATTATAAAATATACTTTTGAGTACCGATAACTTTTTTTGAAGATGTTAAAAATAATTAAATATATGAACGGAAATAACAGATTAGAAGCGACGAAATTTTAATAATATATCTGAAATTGTTCTCAAGAAGAAAAATTCTTGAGAACTTTTCCGCTCAAGAATATGTCGTGAAAACATATTTATTCAATTATAATTATAATTATAATTATATATACAAATGAATTTTGAAAATACTTTTATCGAGGAAAAACTTCTAAAAACAATAAATGAATAGTTCTTAAATACTTGTTTATTGAAAATTACTATGAAAAGTATATAAATAAATTTATACCAACTGATTTGATTGGGGTTACAAAGTAGTTTTCCTTAAAAATAAAAATAAAAATAAAAACTCAGAGTCAAACATCAAGACACGAAGTAGGTTTGTGATTAGCATCAGCCTTGTATTTTCCTCGTGAAATTGAAGAATCAAGCAGAAAACAAAATTCCAAAACAGTACTTTGAACATTTCCGTTTATTATCAGTGATGATAGCTTTAGATTACCCCTATATTGTTATCATCGACATTCTTAAGAACTGATTCACCAAGTACCCCTCTGAATTTCAGGTACCTTATTCAAAATTGATCCAATTGACCCTTTTATTTTCAATATTTCACTCCACCGTCAAGGACCCGAATCTTATGATCCCCTTTATAGGTTCAGGGATATCCTGTTGTGTTAGGGTTTTCAATTCTCAAACCTTGCTTGATCGAACAGTAACCATCAATGAAGGGGGAAGTACAGCTTCAGCCTCCACCGGTTATGCAAAACCCTAGTGATTCGGACCCTTTGCTTCTTAACCAGGAGGAGGATGAGTCACCAGGAAGCTCTGGTGAGATCAAGGATGATGAAGAAGACGTTGAGGCAGGCTTACTTCCCTGTTGCCGAATTTGCCTCGAAAGCGATTCCGACCCAGGTGAAAATTTCTGCAAAAGCTTTTAAATTTATGCCGAATTTTCTCATTTTCGGTTGGAATTGTTAAATGGCGAAATATGGGTGATTGGACATTTCCCTGTAAAATAAAACAGAGGATTAATAAGTGGCTTCGGAGAATGCAGTCAGAGTCCTTAGAATATGAACCAATGTATCGTCGTCAGTATCAAAATTGGTGACATTGTGATAAACTACGATAGTTGTGGTCTTCAGTTTTTTGTTTCGTAGTGTCTGAAATTGGTCGTTGTTGTGCCTTTTGTTCGTTTTAATTTCTAAACATGCTATGGCTTCGATTGTTCTGTACAATAGAAAACCAATGTCATGTAACTTCACCCTCCTATTTTATTTTGCTTACTGTCAAACTAGAAGTGTGTATTTTGATATTGCTTGTTCTACGCGCCTTGGCTAACGGTGGAGGCTGAAATTTGAAAATACATCTGTGCTAGTTCTAGTATGATGATGCTTGGAATTATTTTCATTTTAATTGCTTTTAGTTAATGAAAGGGAATTCAATAAAATAAACTAGGCTAAGGAAAGCAGGAAACTATTGCCATTTATTTAATTTGTTTACTGTTGAACGCATGCATGCAATTACCTCCAATTCCCAAATGCTACATGTGTTGCCTAAATTTAATAAACAACAACAAAACACTTTCTCTGTTGAAGTTTCTCATTTTCAGTCAATGTTGTTAAATGGCATTACCATAGCCGCCTTGGGAGAATGATGTGGTGATTTTAATGTTTGAGACTTGGGCAATTCTCGTACCATGACTCGAAACCTGCTCAACTCATGAGATAAATGCCACATCATGTTAGCAAACAAAAATATGGATGTTGTTGTTTCGGTGGTGTTAATCTTCAGGAAGCTAATTTGTTATTTGATTTTGTAGAGGATGAACTGATATCTCCATGCATGTGCAAAGGTACCCAACAGTTTGTTCATCGCTCATGTCTTGATCATTGGCGCTCCGTAAAGGTGTATAATTTGATGTTGGTCTTGATTTGTAGTTTTACATGCTAGTATTAACTTGTTGAGATCATATAATAATTTGGTGAAATTTTATTTTTGGTGCCTTGTAGGAAGGATTTGCCTTCTCGCACTGCACCACTTGCAAAGCCCAATTTCATCTTAGAGTTGAATTGTTTGAGGACAACTCTTGGCGTAAAATAAAGTTCAGACTTTTTGTGGCTAGGGATGTTTTCCTTGTTTTTCTGGCTGTACAGACTGTGAGCATTCTTTACTCTTCCTTATCCTTCATATTTAATGATTACGTTTTCCTTGTTTTTTTAAGCTATCACAAAGAGGATGTTCTTTGTTTAGAATCTATCAGTGTCAAGTCACTCCTACAACTGCTACCATGATGAAATGTTATTAGTTTTAGCTTGCTAGTACTCTTCATCCAGAAAGAAGATGGTGCCTTATCCTGTAGGATTGTTAAATTGGCCTTTCGTATTGGTATTTGGTCAAAATAGTATGCATAAATGTTTATTTTGCATTGGCCTAAGAATAATTTAATAAAATTCATAAAAGGAAAGACGATATGTAAACACAGAAAGAAGCAAACGGTAGTAAAAGAATGATCAACAACTGCATTTCTATCTGTTTTATTATTGAAGTATGGTGGAATATATACAGAGAGAAGGAAAGCAGAAAGAGAGAGAGTAACAGAAAGATACATCGTAATAGAAAAGATATTACAAAGAAAAAGACGTAAAACAGAAAAGAAGCACATAAAATACGTAAGGACGTAAAACATGTAAAAAACATGATGCTGTAAAACACATGACGTTAAGAGCCCCCTCAAGCTGGGAATAAATGTTTGTCATTCCCAGCTTGGAACAAAAATCTTTGAAAATAGGAGATAAAGCCTTGGTGAGGATGTCAGCTAATTGAAGAGAGGAGGATACAGGTAGCAGTTTAATCAGGCCTTTGTTAACTCTTTCTCGAATGAAATGGCAGTCCAGTTCAATATGTTTCGTTCGCTCATGGAACACCTGGTTAGAAGCTATCTGTAAGGCAGATTGATTGTCACAGAAAAAGGAGTGTTGGTCGAGTGAATTGGATGCGAAAATCTTCCAACAAGTAAATGAGCCATTGAAGCTCAGACGAAGTGGTTGCAAGGGCACGATATTCTGCCGCAGAAGAGCTACGAGAGACGGTTGGTTGCTTCTTTGATCTCCACGAGATGAGAGAGCTGCCAAGATAAACACAAAAACCCGTAATAGAGCGACGTGAATCGATACGTCCAGCCCAATCGGAATCACTAAAGGCTTTCAACTGAAGGGGGCTATCAGCAACAAGGAAAATGCCATATCCAGGAGCATGCTTCAAATAACGAAGAACACGATAAGCGGCTTGATGATGAACTGAAGTAGGCTTGGCAATGAATTGACTGAGATGTTGGATAACATGAGTAATGTCAGGACGTGTGTTTGTGAGATAAATCAATCGCCCAATGAGTCTCCTATGAACTAAAGGATCCACTAAAGGTTCACCACTGGAAGCAGATAAACGAACATAATAGTTCATGGGAGTAGATGAAGGAGAACAAGCGAGCATGCCAGTGTCAGAGAGAATATCTAACGCATATTTTCGTTGAGACAAGTGAATACCAGTTTTATTTCTAGCAACCTCCAACCCAAGAAAATATGTTAAATCACCTAGATCTTTGATTCTGAAAGCTTTATCAAGAAGAATAGTGATAGCACGAATTTTAGAAATGTCATTACCAGCAAGGACGATGTCGTCTACATAAACTAGAAGAGCAGTGCAAGTTGATTCTGTGAACTTTAAAAATAATGCGTGGGCTGCAGAGGATTGATGATAGCCATGCGATATAAGGAAAGTGGAGAGACGAGCATACCATTGTCGGCTGACTTGTTTTAGCCCATACAAAGACCGTTGCAAACGACAAACCGGACTCGGTATGGATGAAGTTACACCAGGAGGGAGATGCATGTAAACCACTTCGTTAAGTTCCCCATGAAGAAACGCATTATTAACATCCAACTGTTTGAGATGCCAGTCATAGTCATGAATGGCAGCTAACGAGAGAAGAAGACGCACAATAGTAAGCTTGGCTACTGGAGAAAAGGTGTCAAGAAAGTCAAGACCTTCAAGCTGCGTATACCCCTTTGCAACCAGACGTGCCTTATATCTTTGAACAGACCCGTCAGAATTATGTTTGATCTTGTAGATCCATGGACACCCAATCGCAGATTTGTTTGGAGGTAACGAAGTGATGATCCAAGTGTTATTCGTTTCGAGTGCAATAATCTCGTCTTTCATAGCTTTAATCCAACAATCACTTTTGGAGGCTTCAGTGTAGGAGGAAGGTTTGGTGGTAGTGGAAATGGTCAAGATAAAATGACGAAAAGAAGGAGATAAACGATCATAAAAAATATAAGAATTAAGAGGATAATGAATACCTGGAGAAGAAGCAGGTGCAGTTGATGCGAGGGTGACGTGAAAATCATGCAGGTATGTGGGTGCCTGACGTATGCGGGTAGAACGACGAAGAGCAGGTGAAGATGTAACAATATCTGAAGGGTGAGTAGAAGGAGAGGGAATAGGGTCGTGAAGAAAGTAATTACTGGTAGTAGCTAAAGGAAGGGAAGGGGTAAAAGAAGTCGTATGTGAGTCAGAGTTTGTGTAAGGAAAATGATTTTCATAGAAGACTACGTTACGTGATACTTCAATGTCACGTGTGTGAAGGTTAAAAATGAGGTATCCTTTTGTGTTGGGTTTGAAACCGAGATATATACATGGACGGGCTCTGGGATCAAGTTTCTTACGATGAGCTTGAAGGGTACTAATATAGCACAAACAACCAAAAACACGAAGTGTGGAAATATCACATGGTTTGTCATATAGTTTTTGAAAAGGGGATATATTTTGTAAGAAAGGAGTTGGAATGCAATTTATGAGATGAGCAGCATGTATGATAACAAAATTCCAAAAAGAGGGTGATAAGTTGGAGTGAAAAAGAAGGGCCCGAGTGATATTTAGGAGATGTTGGTGTTTCCATTCCACTATGCCATTCAGTTCAGGGGTTTCATTACATGTAGTTTGATGTATAATTCCTTTAGATTCAAAAAATTTATTCATCAAGAATTCAGCACCGTTATCAGTTCTAATAACTTTGACTCGTTTTCCAAATTGGTTTTCAATAAGATTGACAAAATTTATTACATGGTTACGGGTCTCAGTTTTAGATGACATGAGAAAAACCCACGTGAAACGGGAATGGTCATCAGTGATAGTAATAAAATATTTATGTCCATGCAAAGAGATTTTTGAACAGGGTCCCCATATGTCAATATGAATTAAATCAAACGTATGAGATGCATGAGAATTGCTTAATGAAAATGGAAGTTTCTTTTGTTTGGCATGGTGGCAAGTATTACAAGTGAAATGTTTATTACTATATAAGAATGGATAATGTTGTTTCATAGTGTTAAGTCTCTCATATGACAAATGACCCATGCGAAAATGCCATAAATCAATGTCTTGGACAGTGTATTGGGGAGAAACAATAGTGAAGGAAACTGAAGGTAATTGGATAATAGGTATGGTCAAAATGTAGAGTCCTCCTTGCACATCAACTGTACCAATATTCTCTTTGGTGTTCACATCCTGTATAATGCAAGACCCAAGGGAAAAAATAAGTTGATAATGAAGAGAGGAAATCAATTTAGAAATAGAGATTAAGTTAAACGTGAAATCAGGAATATACAAAACATATGTTAATTGGAAGGACTCATTGAATTTGATTATGCCAGAATGAGTAGCATGAACATGATGACCTGTGGGCAACTTAACAACTACAGGATCGATAGAAGTATATGTAAAGAAATTAGAAAGGGAGGAAGACACATGATCAGTTGCACCTGAATCAATGATCCAAGAGGATAGATGATGAGAAATGACAGAATAACAATTACCTTAATAGGAGGGTTGTGCAGAGATAGAACTGACAGAACCAATAGTAGTGTGAGAGGAAGAAGGAGCTGAGCTACCATTGGTGGATTGTTGTATTAAAGTCATTAAGGCTTGATACTGCTGTTGAGTGAAACGAAAATCCTGGGACATGGGAGCTTGTTGTTGATCATTATGAGTGACATTACAAGCATCAGTCACGGTGTTGTTTTCCTGGAAAAGGTTTATGACCTGGAGGAAAACCATGTTTGCGATAGCAAACTTCTATGGTATGACCTGTTCTACCACAATAAGTGCAAATTTTAGTGAATTTGTTAGAAGAATAACCAGAGCCTTTGTTCTCATGCGTAGAGGGAAAACCATGTTTCTTATAGCAAAGTTTCACAATATGACCAGCACGTCCACAATGAGTGCAACTGAGCAAGGATGTAGCAGCATTAACCACAGTCGTTTTGGAAGAAACATTATCAACAAAGTCGGTTCCTATTAATTGGCATTCTTGCTGAGCAACAAATGAAAATATCTTGGAAATTGGAGGGATAGGATCCATAAGAAGGACATGAGATCTGATGTTGTTGTATTGATCATTCAAGCCACGTAAAAATTGCATGGCATGATCCTCTCGTTTTCTTTGTGTAATGGAAGGAAGAACCTTACAACAACATTTAATTGAACAGGTGCATATGGGCTCAGGTCGGAAATTCTCCAATTCATCCCAAATGATACGAAGTTTAGTGAAAAACTCGGTAATGGACATATCACCTTGTCGGAGGGAAGATGCTTCATACTGTAGATCTGAAGTAGGAGATCGCCTTGAGAATAACGGGATTTGAGATCATTCCATATTTCATTAGCTTTGTCCATCCAAAGCACACTCTGTTGAATTGAAGGAGATACAGAATGTACGATCCATGAAACAACCATGTTGTTGCATCGTTTCCAAGCTGAGTAATTGATATTAGATTCAGGAGGTTGAGGCGCAGATCCATCAACAAATTCCAGTTTGTTTTTAGCACTAAGGGCTGTAATCATTGATCTACTCCATGAATGGTAATTACTGGAGTCAAGAATAGGTGACACTAAAGCTGTGGCAGGATTCTCTCCAGGGTGTAAGTAAAGAAAACTATAAATATTGGGTGTTTGATTTGATGCTTCAGCCATGATGAAAAAGGGGTAGAAAGAAAACGCAGCAGAGCTCTTCAATGGAAGAGCTCTGATACCATAATAAAATTCATAAAAGGAAAGATGATATGTAAACACATAAAGAAGCAAACGGTAGTAAAAGAATGATCAACAACTGCATTTCTATCTGTTTTATTATTGAAGTATGGTGGAATATATACAGAGAGAAGGAAAGCAGAAAGAGAGAGAGTACAGAAAGATACATCGTAACAGAAAAGATATTACAAAGAAAAAGACGTAAAACAGAAAAGAAGAATGTAAAATACGTAAGGATGTAAAACACGTAAAAAGCATGATGCTGACATAAAACACATGACGTTAAGATAATTAGATATATGATAGAAACTAGTGGAACGGCAGACACTCACACTACGTGCCTCTAATAAGTGTACATTTTTTAATTTTTTGAATTGGATTTTGTATGCAGATAGTGTGTTTTTCCCTCATATTTTGTATATATACTGGATAGTTTAGGGAGAGAAATGTAATTGAAGTGGGAGGTTGAAATATAACAGAAAGATTGTTGCTGGTGTCAATTGAAGTGCAAAGAAGTCCAAAAAAATGTGGAAATGCAAAGACATAAATTATGATTGTTTTCTATCATAATAGTAATAAGCAAGGTTGTCAAACTCAAAAGTTTATTTAAACTCGTGGAGCTTTCTTAGATTCAACTCATAATCTCATAAGAGTTTACCTAATATAAAAAATACTATTTAAAATCTATTAATACTAAGAAAAATAGCAAATCCCAATAATAAAGTAGGATGATACATTTGTGCTAAATAAGATTAAACTACATAGATGCTTAAACCATATGTAAATTCATAAAAATATACGTTCTTAATGTGAAAACAGTTCAAAAAATGAATTAATTTCTTCAAATAATATGAGTCTTAATGAAACATTGTCATCATCGGTTAAAAATCAGTCCAAAATTACATTTGATTTTAAACCCGTTGACTCTCTTCTTGACTCAGGAGAGTTTATCTAAGTTTAGTACGAGTTCAAAAAGTATGCTTAAATGTACTTCGAAAATAATTTTATAGTGAGTTAACTTGTTTTTTCTATCTAGGATCATAATTTCGGAAGAGTTAGTTGTAAGTTAGTTGTAGAGTTTGACAACCTTGGTAATGAGACACCACTTTATATAAGATTGAGAGTATTTTAGTATCATTAGTCTTGAATTACTAGGAATTTTTCTGTAGAGATGAAATTTTGAAATGCATATCCATTGTTTTCAAATTCTCATGTTAACTTTTACATTCTAATGAGTTTGCGATATTAGGTAAAGAAAACATATTAATTCACTATCAAACTAAGTCAAATTCTGTAAACTTGCATACACTGTCAAGTTAAGAAGCAAGTTACGAAGCAAGTCAATGATTTTGGAATCAAATATAGTTTCCCCTCCCCCCCCTCCATGACAGTGTTTTATGCACGTCAAGCATTGTTTTTGAAGCCAATGTAAATGTAAAATTGTTACTATGGGCCAAGTAATTAGAAGAAATTAGCTTTTTTGAAATCTTTTCACATTAGGAACTTGTGTTTTTATGAATTTGTGTATGATTTGGTCCTTTATTTAGTTTGATCTTATTGAGCAACAGTACGAATGTACTATCTTACTTTATTATTATAGTTACTATTTTGCTTTATAATGGAGTTGAAATGTTGATTATTGTTGTGTTAAAGTATCATGTTATTTTTTTTTCCATTAGGTAAACTCTTGATCAATTTACGAATCAGGTCTACAGAAGCTTAATGAGTTTATGTAAAAATATCAAGTTTAACAATCTTGTCAAAGCTAATAAGGGGATCTGCTGTCACTGTCAATGTTCATAATTTTTTCCCATGCTTGTCAATATTGATAATTTAGGCCCTGTAAATCAAGGTAGTTTAATTCAATATTTTATTCGGACACAAAAAGGGGATAGGAAGTTGTAAAGCGAGGAATCTTAACAAAGTGTAAGATTCTACAAGATAGATAAATCAATACATTTGCATTTAACATAACACAAATAAGAGAAGAAAAAAAAACATGTAACACACCAAATATTTAATTAAACTTTAATTTACAATCATAGATTAATAAGCATATGAAAGTCAATGACTAAACCCCACACAAATCTCAACTCACAAGTCATAAATGACTATCAAAGCAACTTAAAATACTGTAGTAGTACCAAGTGACTACTCCGAGCACAAAGCACAATGCTTGAAACACCTAGACTATACCTCTAAAATAGATCATCCAGATTAAAATCATAATCACTTAAGAGATCCTCATTTCTTTGATAGAAAGAGAACCAATGTGCCACACAAACAGAGCCGGAGAAGCATAGGAGCCAAGCAGAGAGTTGGACATCCTCAAGCATGGCAGAGGAGAGCTCTGATTGCAGTGGTTCATGCAATGTTTTTGGGGCTTGGGTAAGAGAGGACGCAAATTTGTGCTAGAGATTGAAGAAGATGCAGTGATGTCTTGTCAGCGAAGGTGTTGGAAGTTGGGGTTATAGAAAAGTTGGTTTTGGGGTTTGGGTTTACAAAAGCCCAAAATGAAAAAAAGAAAAAGAAAGAAACTTGACCCATTGCTGAAAGTGACACATGAAAACATGATCCAGGCAAACTTGGAAAACTCTCCAACCCCATCATTTTTATGATTCTACCCAGTGAGTCTACCTATTCTGCTCAACAGCAATTCTGAGCATGGACAAACTCACCAAGGCATTGCAAAAACATATAATTGTGCGATTCTACGAGTTGGAATGTGATTCTGACTACTATGTTGTAAATTACATTTTTTTTATACTTTTAGTTATGTTTTACTCATATTGTGCAATGCTTACATGCAAGTTGTGTCTTAAGCTATGTTCTATTTATTCGCCAGGTGATTGCAGCTATTGGTGCCTTTGCGTTCATCATGGACAAAGATGGTTCCTTCAGGAACTCATTTGATGATGGCTGGGATAGGATACTGTCAAAGCATCCAATTCCATTTTATTATTGTATTGGTAAGCTTTTATGGTATGAAAGTTATTTGTTGTAAACCAATGGCCAAAATTCCTCTGTATTTGTCCTTTTTTCTGCTGTCAGATTTTGTGAAGTGAAGGAATCACATTTCTTCGTATCCTCCAAGACATCGCAATCTGCTTTGATATTTGCCTTATCCTTAATTTTTAATGTTAGTCCCAACGAATATTGCTACCAGGTTATTGTTTATCCTGTATTTGAGTGGAATTTGTATCCATTCATGTTACATTGTAGTCATGTTGGAGAAACAAAGACAAATAACCAGACTACTTAAGTTTGATTCGGATTAAACTACAAATCAAATAACACGAGAGAAAAAGTGGGGGAAAAAGAAGCACACCATTATAGAAAGTTAGTTTTAAAGTGTGGAACTTATATTCTCTGGGCTATTTTGTTTGCATGTTTCTTAAACAGTTCAAGTTGTGATATCTAAACAAATTTCATTTAGTGGATCTGTTGCATTTAGTTGATTAATCCTTGGTAGTAATAATTGTTTGGAAGCTCTAGCTTTTCCTTCCTGTTCATCTCTCTCTGATGGTTTATATTTGTATGTCAGGAGTGCTGGCCTTCTTTGTACTGATTGGGTTTTTTGGTCTCATACTGCATTGCTCCTCCCTCAATACCAATGACCCCAGAATGGCTGGTTGTCAGAACTGTTGTTATGGATGGGGTATCCTGGATTGCTTTCCCGCATCAATGGAGGCATGCTTTGCCCTTGTGGTTGTTTTCGTTGTCATCTTTGCAATTCTTGGTATAGCTTATGGTTTTCTTGCTGCCACCATGGCCATTCAAAGAATTTGGCAGAGGCACTACCATATCCTCACCAAGAGGGAGCTTACAAAGGTAGTATTTCCCCACTGCCTACATTGAATGTCAATTTATATCTTCTAAATAAAATTAGATACCCGAAATGATTTTCATATTTCCTATATTTGATATATATACAGGAATATATAGTAGAGGATCTTCGTGGCTGTTATTTCCCACCGAAGTTAGACCCAGAACATGAAGGCCGCTTGAAAATGCTCAAGCTTTTGTGATTACAAAGCACGTACCTGTACAAATGTTTTTCAATGATTAAAATATCAAGCTGTTGTTTTATTTGACTGCAACATCTCGTGCATAGCAACCTTGGTTGCTTGTGCTTGGAAATGGTTTATATCATCTCTCTTTTATTTTAAACAAAGAATCTGGATTCTTGCTAGATTCTTTATACTTAAAACCTGACTGGAAAAATGATGAAAATATATGCAGATATTTGTCGATGCCCAGGTTGAATCTAAAGTAATGATTTGTGGACCACTCCGAAAACCTTATTCTGCTGTTTATATTTCTTTGTATCAAATCATATATGGTATTATACTCACATTATCACCCTTTTCAATCAAAAGGCTTCTTGGTGTTATCCACATATAATGTTTTATGTTATTTAAGGGTGGAGGGCCAAGGCAATTGTTCATGCTTACCCATTTATCTCATTGGCAAATAACCGGGGAAATGAAAACTAGAAGATATAATTCCAAATTGATAATATTGCTGTGTGTTCTATGGCTTGATTAATTTGCGTACTCTATTTGCGTATCCCCTTCCCTCTTGACAGTAATCGGTAACTTTCAAATCAACAAAACAAAGCTATATGTAACCATGATAAAAAGACTACAAGATTTACAGTTGAGGAAAAATCCAATAATATTTAAGACGTTCCTTAGATACATATCATATATGCACAACATTTGAAAGTGGTGCTGAAGCTGAACACTTCGATTCTGCCACCCCACCGGCACCGAGGAAAACAAGATGGTCACCATCTCTAATAACCTCTATATCTTCTATTTGACCTCCATCTTTACATACAACCTTGGCAGGATAGAAACCAAATTTTTTTCCTCCAATCTCAAGGAGCTCTTGAAAGCTTCCGGGTAGCAAAACAAGCTTCCCCACAACTTCACCCCTCTCAGGGCAACTAATGATTACTCTAGTTGGACCAACTGCACTACCACTCTTCGTGTCATTTGTTGCATTGTTATTCTTGACAACAGATAAAAGCTTGTCCTTTTCCCAATTTTGTGCTGCTACCATTATCCCGAAGAGTGAGTTATGATAGTTGTTGCTCCTACGCCTTGGACGGTTCTGGCTCTGTCTCTGCCTCTGGTTCCAAGAGGCATCTGTTCCATGAAATGAGCCGTCAAGGGGTAAAGGAATGGTTGGCTCACTAGTAAACCTTCCAAGATACTTAATCTTACTCTGCTTATCGGGAATGGCAAAGAAAGACTGAACATTGGGCTCCCCAGTGGAGTCAAACATGGCTTTTATTTCTGCATGTGCTTGCTGATCTGCTAGATCTCTGGGTGTCCAGCCATGCCTGTCAGGCCTGTTAATACTTGCCCCATGATCCAAAAGATATTTCACAATGTCAACGTTGCCTTCCGATACTGCAACGTGCAACGCAGTGGTCCCACCATTGATGCTTGGAAGCGTGATATCTCCTCCGTAGCGCCTTATTTCCTTCAACAAGTTCAGCCTGTTCTGCTCAGCAGCAGCACATGCAAACTGACCCACGTCCCCGCATTGCATGTTAGCTCCATTTTCTGCCAACACCTTGCTCACTGATTCATGACCTCCCACTATAGCCTCCCACAGTGCCACATTACCATCCAAATCTGCATGTAAAATAACCATATCTTAGTTTTTTCTTTTTCTCTATCACTTATATGAAGTAACAGAGGAGGAAAAATGGTAGACATGGTTTAAAGCAACTTGTTGGTGTAATTATTTATCCTATAGCAAACCGACGTCATCCAACCAAACATGCCATCAGATATAAAAGGGCGCAGATTAAACTTGAAGCACTCCATGATAATTACTTTTGGAAGATTTAGATATTATAACGTCATGGGGGAGTGAGTGTTACAAAACTGATAGCTTGTTTATGAAATGACATCTTCTGGGGGATTTGTTGGGAGGTGAGGGACTGTGCCTACCTCAAAGTTAGGTCATTTTCATATTATTTTTGTATTTTTAAATTTAATAAATATTTAATATATTTATTTATATATTTATAATTTTATTTTTTTAGTTTTTTTTCAAGTAATTCTCATAATTTAAAATTTTATATTTTATCCCTCTTAAATTTAATAATTATTTAATATATTTAAATATATATTTATAATTTTATTTGTTTATTTTTTTTATATTTATTTATTATTTATTAATAATATATTATTTAATTTTTTTATTTTATATTTATTTATTATTTATTAATAATATATTAGTTGTTGTTCGATATCTACGTCAATGTTCACTATTTTATATTCTGCAATGAAATTTGTGATAGAATTTTAACTATTAAAATAAATATAAAAATAAAAGGAGATATCCTCGAGGAATGAGCTCTGAATATCGTACAACTTGGGAAGAAAACAAGAAAAATGACATCTCCACTCTGTTTTTAAGTGATGGACCCCCTAAAAATAAGTTCTTTAAATGAGTTAGACACTCTTTTCAAAATTCATAACAGTAACATGATGATAGTATGTATATAAATGGAGATAGAATCGTGAATTTTTGGCAAGATAACAATGAAAATGACATCTCTCTATTTTGAAGTTCTGACCCCAATCCCAAGAATAAAGATAACCTTTAAGTAATTTAAAAAGACACTCTTAATTTTTTTTGGTAACGTAAGACAATATTAACTAATAACACTAGCCTATTAGTATTTCAATTTATGATGATGAGTAAAGTATTAGAAAGAAAATGACAACTCATACGCTTCTAAGAAAATATAATAAGTTGTCCTTATGTTATCCAGGAACTCGATCCAACTTAGACAAAGACAAAGACTTCTGCATACTTCTATATTTAAAAAAAAAAAAAAACACATGTACACAAGAACACCACCAAATAACTAAAATTTTAATTATTTTTTGGAAGCCACAAGAGGGATGTATCATTCTGCATTGGTGACCATACGGCTCTTCGACTTCTCATTGGTTACCGACCATGAGAGACTTCATTTTTCAATAAGGAGACATGCAAAATGGAGACTTTGTTCTATTATTAGCAAATTTAATAACATCATTTTTCTATTATAAGTTATTATCACATTGTAATGACTTTTCCCCCTTTCTATTCTCACCACGTGTCTTGGGAAGGACCACTAGAATGTTGACAAAGATTAAATATTACAAAGTGAGGACACAGACAATATAAAGATTAGTAGTTTTAAGTATATTAATACTACACGAAATATATGATGCAAAATAATTTTTCATTTTCTTGGAAGCAAATTAAAGGCACATGGCAGTAGAAAATTCAATGATATTAAAATTTAGGGTATCATGACCTCATCAGGCCCAACTTGATTGGTTTAATGGTAATTGTCAAATAAGCAGATACAATTGTGGAAAATCCTTATACAAGAAATTTATGTTAGGTTTACAAGAAAAGGAATCATCACACAATCACACAAACAGGCTGACGCTGATACAGGATTTGTTAACATCAGGTTGATGCTAAAGATTGCAAGTTTTGAAAAATAAAAGGAATAATAAACGAATTTTATGCTTTATTTAAATAGTCATTTAGATAGAGTCTTGGGTAGTGGGAACGTGACAAGAATACAAATGCTTGCACATGAACTTTGAAATCCTGTCTTCATACTAAATGTCATGCATAAAATTCTTCATGTTGCACAGTTCTTCAATTTGTTTGTACGTATTTGTGTCCAAGTCATTTTTATCGTTTGATCTAAGAACTTGTCTAATATTGCAAGTGTGTAACCAATAGAATTTAAGAAGAGTAAGAAATATCTACCTGTAATGTTGGGATTCGCCCCATGATCTAACAGAAGCTTAACACAGTTCTCTTCTCCTTGAGATGCTGCTATATGCTGATTATGTAAAAATAAATCAGCACTATAGATTAGAAGAAAAAAGAAAATCATGTAAAGAAGGTCTAAAGCAAAATTATAATCATTCACCCACCAAAGCTGTTCTTCGATTGATGTCGGATTCGTTTGCATTCATGCCTTGTTTCAGCAACTGTTGTAACAACAAGTCATCTCCTCTTTCTGTCGCAAAGCACACAGTCACTGCTGGTGGGTCCATTCTACCACGAGCTAACATGGTCTCAATCTCCACCAAAGCTCCCTCCATGATTGGATCATTGAGCTCTCTCAAATGCTGCCACCATAATAAGTCCACATTCATAACTTTACTGAGTGCTCTATTGAATAAGCTTTTTAATATCTTTTTAAAAAAATAATTTATTACATTCTATTATTATGTTTGAACAAACCTATGTACAATATATATAGCAGGGCCCAGGAGATGTACTACTCTAATGTTGTAAGGTTAACTAAATCAGAAAAAATGTGCTGTTTTTTCATTGTCAACATGCAATGAATGGTTATGATGTTATGCAGACCTGAAGGAGATTATTCATGATTATGGTTCCGTCTCCCACGTTGGCCTGAACAATACTCAAGAAAGTAGTACGGTTTAGCCTCAGCAATTGGCTTAGTCGCTTCGTTCGAACTGTGAAAATCTGTGGCTTGTAACAGAGCACACCAATCTCACCACAAAGATCACCAGTTTTGGCCTCTCCAACAACCTGACATCAGTTCCCAACATTAAGATTTAGTTTCATACTATATAATCCAGCACTCTTTCTTTTCATGTATTAATGAATGAATGAACTTGCCTGTTCAACCCCATTTTTACGAACTATCAGCTCCTGTCAAATAATTAAGGCATTAGAAACCACATTTTGTAAGATTGGTTCAGAGGAAGAAAAATCTCATTTTGTCACAATAAAATTTTGTCAAATTTTGAAAAGCAGAAACATTATTCTCATAAATAAGTTGGGCA